CCACAGCTTCTCTGGGCACCCTGTGCCAGCGCCTCAGCACCCTCACAGGGAAGAGCTTCTGCCTTTTACCTAACCTGAACTTCCCCTGTTGAAGTTTGAACCCATCACCCCTTGTCCTATGGCTGCAGCCCCTGATGAAGAGAACCAGCGTACCAGAGGGTCCGAGTCCAGGGAGCTGGGCGTCGTGTCCTTGACCGTGCGCTCCTCAGGAGGGGAAACGGTGCTGTGGGGCCCGATGGAGGGGGGGGGCAGGTGGTACAGCTTGGACTGGTCCTGCTGCGCTGATGGCCAGGGCAGGGTGTCCCGCACCCACTCCACGGGGTCCTCCCAGGCTGCCTTCTGCCCGTGGACCTGCAGGCAGGGAGCAAGTGGCACCCCAAGCCCCACAGGACAGTGCTGACAGAGATGCCCAAAATCCCAGTGCCTCCCCTCTCCCTGTGCCATCAGACTCCTGCATTAGCAAGTTTGCATTCCCATGTGCTCAGAGTACCTTGAGCCCATCTTTTGCTCCCTCCTGCAGGTAAGGGATGATGGAGTTGTTCCACAGGTCAATGAACCAGGTCCGGAAATCCTCAATTCCAATAGGGCACGACAGGAAGAAGCAGGGACCTGTAGGGGAAGGCAGAGGGAGAAAATGTGAGCTGGGTCCCCTGCTCCAGCCACTGACACCAAGTCTGGCTGCATGGGATGCCCTGGGCTCCACCACCTCCTGGGAGCCACATCTGGGCAGCGTCTGCCTGACACACAAGCAAGCTCCAAGGCAAGTCATGGGGCTGCCAAGCTCAGTCTACCCCCCAAAACCATGGTGATGCAAAGGGAGACCTGCCTGGGAAAGCACAGCTCCACTGTGCCCAGGGAAGGGTGCTGGTACGGCAGGAGCCTTGGGCTCCCATGGGGCAGGGAGCAAACGTCACCCAGGGAAGAGTAACATTCGTGTGCATCACCCACTGGCTGTTGGTGGTGTGGGACTGGGCGATAGGGGAGGGTTTTGCCCCAGCCCCTGGGGCTCCCAGCAGTGCAAGGCAGGAGGTGGCACGGCCATACCGATGAGGAAGTCGGAGGTGCTGTGTTTCTCCAGGAAGGTGTGCAAGTGGTACCAGAGCTTGGGCACCCAGTCCAGCACGCGCAGCAGCTCCTCCTTGTTGGCGTTGACATCCGTGTCCGACTCCAGCAGCTTCCGCCGCAGGTAGCGCACCAGGAAGCCGTTGGCCGGCTCCACGTTGTTTGAGAAGGTCAGCATCCTGTGGGAATGACCCGGGGATTCAGGGCTGGGTGTCCACAGCTGCCGCCCTGCTCCCCATCACCCTCAGGGGACCTCTTAGCACCCCCGTGCTGCATGTGCCCACGGCTGCAGCACCAGGTCCTGACAGAATGGCAGGGCCAGACCTGCAGTTCGGTCCTCATCAGGGTCTCCACTCACAAGACGTGTCCCCAGGCACTACCAGTAGTGGCCTCTGCCCTCCCCAGCCCCACAGGGATGGTCCCCAGGGATGTATGATTCCTACCTGAAGCTGAGATGGAGGCCATGGTTTGGAGTCATCTTCACAGGCTGGTTAGTGGTCCCAATGATGTAGGGGCTGAGGGAGTGACAGAGAGAGACAGGATCCATGAGGAAAAGTCCCCAGCATCACCCCACCTGTGGCAGAGCTGGACCAAGCACCGCAGCCAGGCAGCCTCATCTGCATGGTCCAGGTTTCTTGCTGAGAGCAGCAGGCACCATGCACATGCCTGGGAGTCTGCACCAAAGCGGGATGCAGAGGAGCAGTGGGATGCAGAGGAGCAGCGGGATGCAGAGGAGCAGTGGGATGCAGCGGGATGCAGAGGAGCAGAGGGATGAAGCGGGATGCAGAGGAGCAGTGGGATGCAGCGGGATGCAGAGGAGCAGTGGGATGCAGCGGGATGCAGAGGAGCAGTGGGATGCAGCGGGATGCAGAGGAGCAGTGGGATGCAGCGGGATGCAGAGGAGCAGTGGGATGCAGCGGGATGCAGAGGAGCAGTGGGATGCAGCGGGATGCAGAGGAGCAGTGGGATGCAGCGGGATGCAGAGGAGCAGTGGGATGCAGCGGGATGCAGAGGAGCAGTGGGATGCAGAGGAGCAGCGGGATGCAGAGGAGCAGCAGGATGCAGAGGAGCAGCAGGATGCAGCGGGATGCAGAGGAGCAGCAGGATGCAGCGGGACGCAGAGGGATTCAGAGGAGCAGTGGGATGCAGAGGAGCAGTGGGATACAGAGGAGCAGTGGGATACAGAGGAGCAGTGGGGCTCTCACCATTTGTGGTACTTGCAGGTGAGTGCGCCGTTGACGAGCTCGCTGATGGAACCTGCCTCACTGAGGTCATCCAGGAGGATCACCAGCGGCACGTCCGCTGTGCCCGTCTCCCGGTCGATCTGGTTGGCCAGGTTGGAGAGGTACAGCTGCAGGTCCTGCAACGAGCGGGCTGGGTGTCACACGTGGGGCCGTGGCACGGCCAGCAGGGACCGCAGCACCAGTCCTGGCTGCTGCATGCCCTCACCTTGCAGGACTGCTGGTGCATGTTGAAGGTGCTGACGATGCCCTCGGTGACGTCCCGACCCGAGCGCTCCACCAGGTACTCGGCCAGGCGGTTGGTCAGGTAGGTCTTGCCGGTGC